ATTAAATTATAATTTTTCCCTCGTCACAGAATTATCCGGAGGATCTTGGAGACTTTTAGACGCGAAAGGGAGGCGAGAAATCGAGTCGAGTGGCTCGAGAGTATTTCGCAATTTTAGATCGTGAGAATGTGAGAAAGGAAAGATAGTTCGAAATTCGAAATTCGAATGTTCCAGTACGATGTACGTGTAAAATTAATTATCCTTCGGTGATAAACAATTTTAAACGATTTATTGCACAACGGACAAAGAGTCTAAAAAGATAGATAGATCGGAAAATTGTTCAAACCAGTTCAAACATATCCAAACTTCCTCGAATCCTTAATACTACGTTGATACAGTTAAAGAGTATACATTGAAAAATTGTTCAAACCAGTTCAAACATATCCAAACTTCCTCGAATCCTTAATACTACGTTGATACAGTTAAAGAGTATACATTGAAAAATTGTTCAAACCAGTTCAAACATGTCCAAACTTCCTAGAATTAATGCTAGGCCTAATTAAACCCAGAGTAGGTGACGAAGGAAATACGCGTTATACAGAAATACCATGGCACTTACGTTACAAACTTCGATCAAACGATTTCCAATCACCTACTTGCGTTAAAAAAATTTGCTACAACGTTACGAGACTCTTTGATACTTGGACCAACTTGGACTCTAAGCAACGATCCTCTACGCAGAGGTGAGTGCAATTTTTGCGGGAAAAGGGAAACAACGAAACTGATTGACTAGAAATAATTTAGAGAAAGTGGTTTGCAAGCGTACCGGCTTCCATTCGAGCTGGCGAGCCATCGGGCATGGTTTTGCCCTGGGACTTTGGCGTGCCCTCGCTCATGCTTTCGCCACGACTTCGATCCTTCGAGGCTGGGTCGGTCTCCCTCTTCCACTCCTCTCCTTCACCTCCTCTTGTTTACCAACTATCGCCCTTTCCCCTTGGAAATCCTTGGAAGCAAACTCTTTTCTAACACCAGTCTCTCTCTCTCTCTCTCTTTCTTTTTCTCTCTTCGTCTTTCCCTCTTCAAGATCGAGTTATCGTCGACACTCGTTTCGAACTCGTCGTTTCTCGCGAAACAAATCTCGACACTTTTTGACCACTTTGATCCGATTCGAAAAAGATCCTGTCTTTTTATTTCCTCGATATTTCTTCTCCTCCTCTCTCTCTCTCTCAGTTCTTGGAATATATTTCAGACAGTTAAACGAGACACTATCCCGGCGTACGGAACACACGGGAACCCGGGCGAGTCTCGCGGAGGGTGTGCGTTGGCTCAACGCTTCAGCCTGATCTTCCGCATCCCTCCTTCCACACGGAGAGGCGGCTCGGTCGCTTGTCTTGTCGCGGTGTCACAAGGTCACGGGATCACAGACAGGATCGAAAGAGAGGAGCCGCACGCACCCGGCTGCTCGCTCGCTCCTCTAATTAAACCACGCCGGAACGACGATCCCCGGAAGTGCGCGTCGGGAGGATCGATCGTTCCGATTGAGGCGCATCGACAGGTGCACACGACCGGGTGAATTTCTCCCTTTCCCTCCCTCACTCCCCTTCCTTCCTTTCTTCAAAAACTTTCCTCCTCCTCTTCGATTTTCGTCGATCCCGAAAAGAAGAAAAGAAAGAAAGGGAAGAAAAGAAAAGAGAAGAGAAGAGCAGTGTTATATCTCGAGGAATAGGACGGGAGTCGACACGACGCTCCACCAAAGCTTGATCCCGCGTAATATCGCGACAACTGGGAGAGCAAGAGTTCGGAGCGAAGGATACACCGGGTCGGGATTCTCGCGCTGGGGGTGCAGGTCACCACCCCTGGACGCTCGTCTTCCTCGTGGACGCTGCGGAGTGCTGGACCACCTTCGCCACCTACCCCTTCCGCTCCCTCTACGATGCCTCTCCTTCTCCGCTCCCGTTCGACGGCGCTCCGGTCGTCGGTCGGTCGGTCGGTCGGTGGGTCGGTGTCTGCTTCCACCCGCTTTCGCCGCGTCGAAACCTCGATCCGTGGAAGGCGTGGAGGCACACGTCGATGGATGGCACGCGCTTAGTAGAGCAGCGATGATCACCGTTACCGCATCACCACCACTACCACCACCACCACCACCACCACCACACGGCACTCGAAGAGAAGAAACAACCACGACTTTCTCTTCTTCTTCTTTTTTCCGTTCTTCTTCTTCTTCTTCTTTCCGTCTTCCTTCTTTTCTTTTCGGAGAAGAAAGGAAAAAAGGAACGGGGAAAAAACGTGTCGACCGAGACGCGGAGTCGAGGAGAGAGGACGTGGCCCGAGAGGGCTTACTCGAACGAACACTCCCGGCTTTTCCAGGCCTCCTCTCCTTCCCTCCTCGCTGCGCACGCTCTATCCGACTCCCTGTTCCTGTTTCCCTCTCTCCCCTCCCCCATCTCCTCCTCCCTCCCTTCTTCCACCCTTTTCATATCCTCCTTTTATCTCGCCACTCTCTCCTCTCTTTCTCTCTTCTCTTCTCCCCCTCCTTCTCCCCACCGCCCTTCGACATGGCATCTTCTCGCCCTGCGTAGCGTCCACGCTTCTTCCACGTATTTTCCCACCGCTTGCTCCCTCATTTTCTCGCAGCCGCGCGTCCCGGGCGTTCTCAGCTTTTCCATCCCCGGATTGACGGCGCAAGCGCCGCTGCATCCACCCCCGGGATTGTCCCCCTTTCTCTCGCTCTCCTCCTCCTCCTCCTCCGTTCCTCACCGCGCAGCTTCCGAACGTGGGACGAGGATCGAGCGTTGCGAAGTTCGGAAGAAGGATGAAACGAAGAGGAGATGATGCTCTCTCTCTCTCTCTCCCTTTCTCGGTGTTGATCCTGCTTCTCCCTCTTATGCCATGGATCCTCCTCGCCGCGCTCTCGAGGTAACAGTGTTTCTTTTTCTTTTCTTTCATTTTTTTTATTCTTCTTCTTATTACGTCTGTCGATAGCTTTATTATTTTTTTTTTAACTCGGTCGGGGATGCAGCCATCACTGTTGCGTGCTGATTATTTTTTTCTCTCTCTCTCTCTCTC